GAGAGAGAGAGAGAGAGAGAGAGAGAGAGAGAGAGAGAGAGAGAGAGAGAGAGAGAGAGAGAGAGAGAGAGAGAGAGAGAGGGAGGGAGGGAGATCTGTTTTTTCTACCTTGTACTCTGGTTGCTAATCTCTTCCCCAGAGAGAGAGAGAGAGAGAGAGAGAGAGAGAGAGAGAGAGAGAGAGAGAGAGAGGCAGGCAAGCTTCCTTGTACCGTGCTGACTCATCTCTTGCTGTCTTTGTTCATACCTGCTTTCTCTTCTGGTGTAACCTATTGGAGAGCCTTCGCTGAGTTTGTGAGCAGCTTAGAATACTTTGACACGTGACTTCCTGTGCAAGTAACAAAAAATAAATTGGCACGGGCCTTCGGGCGCTGAGGATCCTTCGAAGTACTTGCCAATCTGGACAGTGTGTTGATGGCTCCTCCTCGTTCCTGTGAGAATCCACCCAAGCGCAAGAACTACTCAATCAAGACAAAGCTTGAGATCATTAGTACATATGCAAAGGGTGTAAGTGGGTATGGTATAGGTGCGCTTTCAAAGAAACATGGTGTTGATCCGAGTACTCTGCGAGGGTGGATTGATAAGAAAGCTGAGCTAGAGGCAGCACTGAATGAGTCGAGAAGGACGGGCCGGATACAGTGTCGACTGAGTGGTGGAGGTCGGAAAGCAATGTATGAGGACTTGGAGAGGGAGCTAGAGGCATGGATCTTGGACAAGAAAAGGAAGGGTCTGTGTGTGCGCGACCAGTACATCCAAGCAAAGGCTAAGATGATCTACAACCAAAGGTTCCATCAACAGGCCGAAGGAGGTGAAACAGAAGTTCACGGGTTCAATGCATCATCGGGGTGGCTGGCACGTTTCAAGCATCGGAAAGACATCTCATCACGTCGGCGATCATTGGCTCTTGCACTGCCTGACAGTGCCGATGATATATGCCGATCGTTTCTCTACAGATGTCACAACATTATTGAGACCTTCAATATCAGTCCGACGAACATCTTCAATATGGACCAGGTCTTTCGCTACTTTGAGCGCGACGCAACCGCCTCATTTTCCAAGCGAGCAAATGGCGAGGAACTGCTTCGCAAGGGTGGGAATCTGGGTAAGCGTTTCACAGTGACCTTCATGGTTTCCCTGAGTGGTGAAGTACACAAGCCTCATGTGCTTTTCTCAGATCTGATCGGGAAGCCGACTCTGAACCCAGGTGTATTGGTGGAGTTGAATCCAATGGGCATGTGGAGTGAGCAGAGTTTCATAAGCTATGTCAGCAACACAATTGGTTGTCGATATCGCGAGGACGATGCATTTGAAAGTCAGCATGTCCTGCTGATCATCGACAGCTATGGTCCGCATGTGAAACTTCTTGAGAATGATCTTCTCAAAGCGATGAACATTCACATTGCCATTATTCCGCCGAAGCTGTCTGGTATTCTGCAACCGCTTGATGTTGCAATCAAGCGCCGGTTTCAGCAATACTTGAGCCGGATGTACGATGCCTATATCAAGAAAGCCATTGACGGGATGACAATAGATGGTGTGCCAGGCGGTCTGGAATGCCCATTTTATCAGTTGGTCACAAACTGGGTCGTTGATTGGGTCAAAGCAATCCCTCCTGCGGAAGTTTCAGAAGCCTTTCGTGTTTGCGGGCTTGTTCACAAACATGACTTTGATCCAGACGCGCTCCATCCCCCATTGAAGGCACTCTTTGATCCTGCATTCAACCTCACCGAGTGGAATGAATTCTATGCCGAGAGTTTTCTGGATGCACCTGAACCAATAGATCTCAATCTGCTTGTTGGGCCGGATTACTTCGTTCCCAAGAAAGTTGTGAATGGTGACCCATGCAGCTTGTGGCAATGCTTGCATAGAGCGAAGTATGGCCCAAATTCGGAGATACCCTGCTCTTCCTATATCACTTCTGTGATTGCCGGGATGAAGACCCTCCCCGACCTCGCGGACATCACAGATGAAGAGTTCTACATCAAAATGGAGAATGGTGCTCCCCCAGATTATAGGATGGTTGCATTTGCAGTGATGACGTTTGAGCGGTGGACGATTCGCATTCAAGACGCTTCTAATTCATCGTACATGGTGTATGAGCACATTGATCCAGTGAAGACCATTGATCTTGCACGAGTGGATGATTTCTTCGTTTTGAAGGTTTAATGGTTCTGCGCTGATAATCATGTCGTGAACGGAGATATACACGTGCTGTAGAATGGTGGATCGATTTGCTCAATCAAACAGGCGAGCTGCTGGGGGGCTGAGAATCAGAATGAACAGGTGGTGCCATTGTCATGCGAGACGGGACTGTGTTCCTATGGAATCCAACACATTCATGGCTCAGCTTGCATGACAAGCAATGACTTCGATGACCAACTGGCATATACTCTTTGCTATTTATTTATTCATTTACTTATTTATTAATTTGTTTTTGTTGCATGTGGGTTGGAGTGTGAGTCTCACCTTTATCAGTGTCTGGAATGCTGTTGAAACGAATGGGATGCTGATGGTCTTTTAGTAGGGAAGATGATGATTTGCTGAAACCGACGGGCTAGTTTGTGTGGGGAATAGGGACTTCTGCATTTCTCTCTCTTTCTCTCTCTCCCTGTGTTTTTTTTTTTTAAAACAACACAATACCGGTTAGTTTGTGTGGGGAATAGACACTTCTTCTTTTCTCAAAGTCTGTGTGATGTGCTGAATAGCAAATGCTCATAGCTTGTTGGGTTCCAAGTTCCATCCCTGGTCTGACTCCTGGAGTTTGTGTGGCATTGAAGGAATGAATGCACTGAAAAATACCTTCCCTGTTGTGAACCATGTGCATGTGCACGTGTTCTTGCACAGTCTGCCTGTGTTTTGTGTTTCAATACCGTAAGTGTATCTGCCATCCTGTTCGCCGTTTCTTTCTGACAGTACTAAGGAGAATAGAGAAATCGTGCTTGGGGAAAGGGGAAGAAACTTTTTGTCCCATATCTATGTCAGTCCTGATGACAATCTGTAGCTGGGAGTGGCAAGGGAAGTGAAGTCAGTAAGCCTGTGGAAAGAAGAAGGGAATGTGGTAGATACTAGATACTAGAAAGTACTAGAAATTTAAGTAGAGAAGTAGAACCTTCAGAGATGGAACTAGAAAACAGTAGTGTTATTCGTATTAGGTGTGGGCATGGCTTGAGGGCTGAGGACTAGTAGCTGTGTATTCACCAGGCCAGTGGTGTGAGGGTGGGAAAATGGGAGAGAGGTCTAGAATGGTTGCCCTGTGAGAACATGCCTTGGTGAGGAGGAGGCGGGGAGGGATGGAGTGAAAATAGACAGTGGGGGGGCTAGGTAGTGAATGCTGAGGGAAAGTGATGATGATGTCAAAAGAAGAGGGAAAGATGCAGATGTCTTTTGTCTTGCAGCTTGCACTCTATGACCTCCACTGATCACATGAGCGTGATTGCATAAGTGGTGCCAAAAAGACTGCTCTGGAGGTGTGGAAGTGTTAATAATCCAAAATTCAGTGACATCAGAGGGTGCCGTTATGCTATGTGATGTGGCATTTCTTAACGTCACTGTATCGCTGTTTACTGCATCCATGCTTCACAGCATGCTCTTCAAGTCCTCAATTCTGTGTATTGTCATCCATTTCTCTGATGTCCATGAGGTACAACCTTAGGATTTTGCTGTCTGAGACAGAGTGTGGATGAGTGTGATCTTTTGTATGTGTGTGCATATGGAGAGAGAGAGAGAGAGAGAGAGAGAGAGAGAGAGAGAGAGAGAGAGAGAGAGAGAGAGAGAGAGAGAGAGTTGTTGCCTGAGAAAGAGTGTGCATGAGTGTGCTCTTTTTTATGTGTGTGCATATGGGGAGAGAGAGAGAGAGAGAGAGAGAGAGAGAGAGAGAGAGAGAGAGAGAGAGAGCCCTGGATTCACATGTGTTTGCCATGAAGCAAAGACGAAGGAGAGGCATCTGAAGCACTGATAGGCATAGACATGACACCCACTTACTGACAGCGGGACAGCGAAAGGAAGCCGCACAGGCCGAGGAAAGAAAGCAGATGAAAGCTCGAAAAGAACGTGTACAAAACGGGCCAGGTCAGCATTTCAGGACTCACTGCTGTGCTCTCAGAGGGTGTGGGTGTGCCTGCACGAGCGAGAGAGAGAGAGAGAGAGAGAGAGAGAGAGAGAGAGAGAGAGAGAGAGAGAGAGAGAGAGAGAGAGAGAGAGAGAGAGAGAGAGAGNAGAGAGAGAGAGAGAGAGAGAGAGAGAGAGAGAGAGAGAGAGAGAGAGAGAGAGAGAGAGAGAGAGAGAGAGAGAGAGATCCTATCTCGAGGCTCCATGACCCTATCATATGGCATCTTGTGTTTCGCCTTTTGTTGTGAGAATTCTCGAATCTAAAAGTGGGGAATCTGTGAGGAGTTAGTGTGTCATAATGTCAAGCATGCTTCTTGTGAGCTGAAGTACCTGGGAATTCTCTCTGATCAATTATTTATTTGTTTTGTTGTCTTGGACTTGCCATGTCTGTATGTTTTCTCTGGTTGACGATCTCTTGGCATTCTGTCAAGTTTGAACCGCTTCACAACGCCTCTCTTGTGCCCTTGCCGTGAAGCCACTGCTCATTCCTTGGGGTTGAGTTGTGGCAGGGGGTGTTCTGTCCTTCTCAATCAGTTGAACTGATAACCTTGTTGATGTGGCTGTCACCATCTTTAAATTTTTCAACTGTGATGTAATGGGTGATTTGCTTCATATCCTGGCGACTGGAAAATGCAATGCAAGTATATGCAGCAGGAATTTGCATTTCCATTGCATTTTTCAACTGCGACTTTGTGACCGATCTGCTTCCACTGATTGCCATTCATTTTCAACGCTTGCCCATCTATCTGCACTGGCTTTTTCGATGTCTCGGCTGCGGCCTTTTTCTCACACGCGGTCTCTTGCCTCAATTGATGTGTCCTGGACTCTTCGATCATTGTTTCTCGTCGCATTAATTGATTTGGTCAAGTGATTTGCTTGACCAGGCTGTTGAACATAAGTTTGGTTCTCTGATGCTTGCATTCAATTGGACGGCACATTCTACTGTTTTTTGTTTTCAATTTGTACATTGATAGTGTGTATAAGCTGATGTATCATCTTATGGATTTTTCTGATACCGCTCTGATGGCAGTTCATGCTCATATGGTTTTTTGTTTTCAATTGGTACATTGATAGTGTTTATGGACTGATGTATCATCTTATGGAATTTTCTGATTGTGCTCTGATGCCAGTTCATGCTCATATGCTTCGACTGCACTGCATTCTACATCTTGATATCCATTTTGATGCCCTTTAGTGATTGGTCCTGTTATCCATGCCACAGGCATCCTGATGATCGTTGTGGAGCGACTAGGGGGTGTTGGGGGGAGTGGTCGGGGKGGKGGGGRTYGCCAGGGKGGGGAGTGTGAGGAAGGAGGGGAGGGGGGGGGGGAAGGGGTGTGCTTTCCGATGATTCTGTGGCGTGTTGCTGGGGGACATGTCTGTTATTCCTGACATTTTTTTACACTTGTCACTTTCAGCACAAACTCACATAAGCCTGCTGCGGGTCGATTATTTGGGGGTTGTGGGGGACATGTCTGTGTCTGTGTTGGTTCTGATGGCGGTCTCACCCAACTAGCGCTGGGGGCTGGTGGCTTGGCATTTTTCTTTGCAGCTGTGTAGTATATATATTCTTTGCGATTGTTCTACCATTCTCGTACGACCTCCGTTCCGGGTGGGGTGCTTTCCATGCAGTGCTTGCGACTTGGATTACAGTTAATATATTTTTTAACTACTTCCACTGCGTCAGGACCAATCCAGGAAATCCCCCCGATGTGGTGGTAAGTTAGTCGGTGCTTTGACATAGTGACACACACACACACACACACACACACACACACACACACACACACACACACACACACACACACACTGAAAAAAAAAAAAAAAACCTTAGTCAGTGCTTTGAGCCTTTGATGTAGTGACAAAATTTGATCCTTGTGATTGCAGGAAACCGAGATTCCAAAAAGTAACAAAATGAAAACAAGAAAACTGTGATTCCTGTCTCTCGCCGTCCTTGCGGGATTTTATTCCACACTCCTGAATTCATACTGTGATCGCTCATTGTCATTGCTCCCTTCACTTCAGGAGGAAGATGATGAATTGATAATGACATTAGTAAGAAATTATTTAAATTTCTTTTATGTTGTATGCTGTTATCTTGCCGCACATATGCCTGAGATGTTTTCAACTTATCCCCCTCCCCCCTCCCCAAACCCTTCTTTTTCTGAGATGATGAGATCTATGTTTCCGCTGTTTTCCATCTCTGTCCCACCTTTCCTCCCTATGGTAGTCTGTTGTTGTTATTGTATGCGAAGGTTTCTCTGAAAAAGGACTAATGAAGCTTCCATGACGCTTCCTCCATTGTCAAGCTGTTGGCTTATGGACTACGCGCATAGAAGTTGAGAGTAAGCACATGGAAGTTGATAGTAGTTATGGAGCAAAGCAGAGTGAGAACATTTGACGTCTTTCTCTGAGCCTCTGAGACCCTATGGTGTATACACTCATATAGAGCAATGTAGACCTGTTTTCTATATCCATATGTTGAAGTGGAGATCTTCTGAGGCCAAGGGTCTTTATTAAACTTCTTTTTGTATTCTGGCCCTTTCGGCTGAATGGTATAGTATATGGTGACAAGTCGGTGAAACTCAGACGAAACAGCCCCTTTTTGCTGTCCTCTTCTCCTTCTCTGCCTACGGTTTAGTGGGCAGTTCTGTTTGACGCTACATATATCCCTACACTTATACAAACCGCTAACGTGAGAAATCTGCAATCCGGGCCGTCCCGGCCGACGGTTCGGATTGTCACCCGATGCTAAGACTTTAAGATCGCGTGATGATCCAGGCCGTCCATGGTTCCACTGGCCTGACGGTTCAGATCATTGCTGCAAATTTTAAGATCGCGTGACGATCTGGGCCGTCGGCCCAGTACCAGTTGGCCAACGGCCCAGATTAGAAGTTTGCAGCGCAACCGAAATTAGGGCTGCCAGGCGTGGGAAGAAACTGGTTCCAGGCGGGCCGGTCTCCTATAGGGCACAGGGGTTTGGTCCCCGTGCATATCTTTGGCGGCGCACGGATCCGGTGTACAGCGAACGAGACAACACGCGCTCACACGGCCGCCCGCCCGCCCGGCCGCTCGAAGAAGCATATGCACAAACACACGCACATGCACCCTCGCATACGCACACACGAACACACACAAGCACTTAACACGAATGCATCATGGGCAGACTGTCGGGGTTCAACCTCCTGATGAGTTGGTGAAAGTCCAACTAAGCAGTCTGGCACAGTCGTGCTTTTTTCGGGGGTTCACACAAACACACGAACCGTGGGTGGGTGTGGGTGGGTATGGGTGCGTGAGAGAGAGAGAGAGAGAGAGAGAGAGAGAGAGAGAGAGAGAGAGAGAGAGAGAGAGAGAG